CATGCTGCAGTATATATATATATATACGTGTATATGCATGTATGTATGTATATATATATATATACTTACATATGGTATGTGTATGTATATATGTGGCATTTTATATGTGGTAAATATATATACATATATATATATATGTACATATGGTGTATACATAAAAGTGTATATGGTGTGTTTATATCTCTATATATATGTAAGGTGTATATTTGTATATATATATATGGTGTATATATATGGTGTTTATATATATATATATATATATTTATTTATTTACTTATTTATTTATTTATTTGTATATACTTGTTTTTACGGTGTGTATACATATATATATATATATACATATGGTGTGTGTATATATATATATATATGTAAGCGATTAGGTAGATAGATACTACAGACATACAGAATGCCACCAGGTTTTTTATGAACACGCCTCCTGAAACAAGCCCCGGCACACCGAAGCGAAGCCAGTTTGAACGCACTCATCAGGAGAGTATTGAGCTCAGTATGCCAGCGAAGAGCGGTGAAAACCCCATGAACATCGTTTACGAGCCGCCCGTGCGCAGTGAAGTTGAGTGTTTATTCAGTGCAGGCGAAGGTGAGAACGTGCAGCAGTTCAGGGCTTCGGATTTGGCGCTTACTGTTCTAGATGAAGCAGTTACTGCGGGAGTTTCAAAGCAAACGGGGATTCCTACTCGTAGATGCTGGGTAGCCAAGACCCGGACCAGTAAGAAAGGGATCATGTATCTTTGTGCTGAGTATCGTCGTGGACCTCTCGCGCCGGGATGCCGCCCGGAAGATGGACGGTTGGGTGGAGCTCGCTCACGTAGTTTCCATGGCCGGCCACAAGGCACAGGAAGAATTGGACGCCGGTAGAGTGAGGTTTGCTACGGTTGTTGCGGATTGCTCTACAGCGCGGGACCTGTAGAGTGTTGCCAAAGGCTAGGTGGAATGCGCAAAGGCTTGCTGCCATGAAGGACAAGGTCCTTTGTCGGGTTGAGGTTTCACTGCTGCGAGTTTCTCGTTTCTGTGACTACGTGACCTGGTCCATCAGCATTTCACCCGGGGAAGTTCAGAAGGGCTTACACGCTTACACTTAAGAGAGGCTTGAGGGTCAGTGAAGATGTCTCGAGCAGCAGGCTGGAACGATTGTTGCTGCTGTGTCCGATGCTTTTGTTTGCTAGGTTAGGGCCACCAGGCTTGCCTTGGTCTTGTTTTGTGAGAAAATGGAAACGCCCAACTTCCAGTATCTGCCGCCACGCCTGATCCTACTGTAGACGGCTAAGTTCAGATTCCGAGTCTGTGCACAGGCTCTTCCAGAGGATCTCGTGTTGGAGGCCGTGAACACATGGTGCAGCCTCTCAGCCATGAACATGAACCCTGAGAAGACAATGATTCAGTTCGCGGTGCCTGAAGCTTAAAGCTTCGGTGCCTTCATGGTCCCGGTGTCTCTGCTAGCAGGAGCTGGAGAGGGCATCCAGAGTTTCGAACTTTGATTTTTGTCTTTGTCGTTATGTTTGGGTGAGCTATGCCTCATCAGGGGGTATCATGCAAGGGGCCGGAGCAGTGGATCCTGCTCGACCGGTCAGGAATGTTCTCGAACATAATCATGTCGATTTGCTACGGGTCAGAAGCCAACACCTCACACTTCGCTTCGGGTAAGGTTTGTAAAATCGCCTGTTTCTAGCAGCAGATCTGTATTTAGGCACCGGCAGGGCACTGGCGGCTTTGGTATTGAGAACTGCCTTCTGGGTCTTCTTCGGGCCTGCCGCGAACTACACCCTGGCACTTCGACTGCCGCTTTCTTGCTGCGCTCCTTCTACAACTGTGAGAGCTTTTTTCAGACATTTGCCTCACTCGATGTTAGTCTTCTTGTGGCTAGTGCTGCCACACTTGATGCTGCTCTGTTTTGCCCGTGCTCGTTCTCCATTTCGCGGCTTGCCTGCGTGTATGTATGTGTGTGTATGTATATATATATATACATATATATAACGTAATTTCTATTTATATACATACATACACCTATCACAGACATACCTAGATATACACATGTATCCACACACGTTGGTTGATTGATTCGTTGACTGATTGTGGTAGGTTTCCCGCATCAAGCAGACGTGTATGACGCGGCCCCTTGCAAGATGTAGTGGGATCATTCCGCAGCCACAGCCACAGCTGGAGCTTTGCGGTCAGTGGGGGGCACCACTGCCAGCATACACCAGCCGGCTTAGACAAGTCGCGACAATGTTTAGGCTCTGTGCGACTCAATTGGAGCATAAGCTTGCAGGGATGTAAGTAAATGCAGGCTCGCGGGGTGTGCTGACAATTTGCGCCACGGCAGGTGTGAGCACCTGTCGCCAACAGTACACATCAGTCCGTTGTTTTTTTCTCGAACGCGGCCGGCGAGAGGAAGCAAAAGGGGGTCAGACGCGCAAGCTTGGGGCTGAAGTCAGGCTGTCAACGACAAGGTGCAGCTAGATCGTACTGTTGGTGAAACCGAAGTTGAAAGCTTTCGAACCTTTGAAGTCGAAACAGCAATCATACTTATGGGCTGTCGGGTCCTCTGAGCCCCGGAGACCGCCGCAGTGCAAGACCGAGCCTACTGCAAGAAGATCCGTCGAAGCTTTTGCATTGGTTTGACCTTTGCGACTTCGTTACCATGTCTAACGGGGGCTGAGAAATCTTGCGCCAAACGAACTTGCAGGCCAATAGCTCATGTCGTCATGGAATAGTTGTAACTCCTGAGATGGAAGCCATGTTTTGCACCCCGCTATCAACATTTCCGGCAGCACGAGATCCTACGTCCTTCAGCCCGCATCGGCCTTTGGCCCGCAACCTGAATGCCAGGTTCTGTTCCGCCTGCAGAGCAGGCGTCCAGAATGTCGCGGCTGAAGCGGCGGAAGGAGCGTGGACTTCAGAGAGTTCGGAGAAAGCTTCGGCAGCGGTCTTGGTTTAGGATTTGAGGTGTGCGTCTAGTCTGCTGTCCGTTGCCGTCGCCATGATTTCGAAGGATGCCAAGACTCACAAATAGAGGCAGAAGCAGTCAGCATGCGGTTCTGAGGTCAACTATGCTAGCTACACGTTCATTCTGTGGAGCTCAGTGACATTGCTGAGAGACCCTCAGCTGCAGGGCCTCAGAAGCGGAACTAAGTGGGTCGGGCCCTGTGTATAAGAACACTTAGAGCGATTTGGATAGTCCACCTGCCATGGAGCAAGCCGTGGCACAGGACGCCGCTGTTGCTGCAGGCATGTTCAGGGACTGCTTCGGCAAGGGTGGCGTTTTCACCGTGATGGTGGAAGAGCCCGAAGGTGGGTGGCAAGTCAGATGTCAGGCATTCGGAGTTTACTTTGTGGGCATCGTTGCTATCCGGTAGGTCCGCCGTTTTCGACAAGATGTTGAAGTCTGAGGACTTTGTGGAGCGCCAGCAGGCCCAGGTGGTCATCTCCGACTTCTCCAGTGGAGCGGTCGAGATCTTCCTCCGTGTTCTCTACTCGGGGGTGGTACGGGGGCCGCTTGAAACCTTGGTGGAAGTGTCTTCGATGGCGGACAAATACCAGGTGAAGCGGCTCCTGGAGCTTTGCACGGAGGCGCTCCAGGACGGCCTCAGCCCGGCGAATGCCTGCGAGCTCTTCGCCGCAGCTGCCCAACTCCGAACTGCAGGTCCTCTTGAAGGATGGAGCTGCAAGAAGCGGAAAGCTGGTGAGGAAGAGACTTTGCCCTCACCGCTGCAGCCGATCGCTGATGGACACATGGGCCGGATGGAGGATGAGCTTGCGCGCTTTACGTCTGAATATGGGCCGGCCTGAGTGGTCGCAAGAATACCTGGGGGCAGTCCACGAAGATGATCTCTTCATGGCATTGTGGAATGATTGCACAGAGGTGGCAGAACCGAAGGGCATGCACCTCAGTTTCTGTGTTAATACGTCAATGTCGTTGTGGACGGACAATTGGAAATTTTGAGGCAGAAAACCCGATGCCATTAGAGATGTATGCCAGCAATCGTAAGCCTTTCAAGCTAACGGGTGGGTCAATTGCATGGATGCTGCCATATGGTTCTCTGTATCTCACGGGCCTCTCCTTCGCCATGGACATGCCAGAACAAGTCCACTGTCGAGTGTACTGTTCGAAAGATGTTCTCCACTGGCACCTGGCTGATGTTTCGGGAAAGGCCAAGATCGAAGCCAAGAAGAGGCTGCTTGAACAGGCCATCTGGCCTGGTGACCATATTCAAACTCGAGGTTCTGAAAGGCGATTTCTACAACAGTCTGCAAGTTCGGGGAATCTGGAAAGATGATTTTCATTGTTGACATCAGTAGGGTTTCTCACGCGCAAGAGAGGTGCAGCATTCCAGGTCACCAAGCATGGCTTTGTTCTGTTAGACTTGAGCAAGTCGTTGCCCCGCCGCTCAAAAAGGCGCATCTATAGCTTCGGCATCTGAGGTCCTGAACCTCCAGGCGCAGGCCCCTTTTCGCCCAAGACTCTAAGCTCCACGCAGCCCTTAGAATCCGAAAGCCCTAAACCATCCTAAACCCTACATAACCTTAGAGCTTTCATCGTTGAGGCGTTAGGCCTGGGCTCCGAGACGCAACATGCAAAGCTCATGCCTTGCTTGGTTTGCTGCTCCTTGCCCGTACCTGCTTATAAGCTATATAGTTGCTAGGGCGACAAAGAACGTTGACAGTAGTGACGGTAGAATAGCACACTTTCCTGTGAAAGGCAACTTGCAGGTGTATGTACGTATGTATGTATGTATGTATGTATGTATGTATGTATGTATGTAACACATGTATACTCATGTTTCAATGTATGTGTCACATGTATACTCATGTTTAAATGTATTTGTATATATGTATACACATGGTCCGTGGATATATGTACTCGTATGTATGTGTGCACGTACGGTTGTATGTATGTGCGCGTGCGCGTGTGCGTGCGTGCGTGTGGAGGCAGGCAGGCAGGCAGGCGGGCAGGTAGGTAGGTAAGTAGATATGTTTGTATGTGTACGTGTGCGTGTGTCAGTGTGGCTGTTGTCGGTCTGTCGGTCTGTGTGTTTGTTTGTTTGTCTGTCTGTTTGTCTGCCTGTATGTCTGTAAGTATGTATGTATGTAGGCGTAGGTATGGATGTAAGATTATGTCAGTATGCAGGTATGAAGTATGTATATGTATACATTACCCACGAACTTCCTCCCAAAAAAACTTTAACACACTAGGTGCTTTATCAACACATCTCCTGTCCCAAAACAGGGCTCGTGTCCTCCATCGTTCTGTGTCTTTGGACCCCACACCCTGAGAACAGTTTGCAGCCAAGGGTTTGAGTCCAGGAGCTGTGCGACAATCTCGTGTCCAACATGAACCGAGACTTAGCCACCATCCTACAGGATAAGCGGGGACCCAAGATTAGACTATGAGTTCAGGGAGCAGGTGTCAGGATCGAGGGAATCTGGGCTTCTCCGGTGCAAGTTGCTTTCTACTACGACGTTGTCCTGCATTGGGTCTTGACTCTCAACGGATTCGATTCGGCTTGCCTGGGTTTCCACATGATTCCACATCCCGGTGAGTCGCATATGGTGGTTGTCTCTGCGAGTGTCTGCATGTCTTGATGCTGCACACATCAAACACTGCATGCATGGGCGCAGGTAAGTGTGCATGCTCATGACCTTCAGCCTGTGTAGGGTTTTGTGTGTATACACACACACACACACGGTTTAGATACGTATCCATGTGTGTAGTTCCATCGTGTGATTATGTAATGAAGGTATGACAGTGATAGTGTGATAACTGTGTGGGTATGCATGCTGCTTAAATATAGGATTGAACAACACTCAGACCGGACAAGTCCTCCTAGCAGCTTTTTGCCTTTGGCTGGTACTTGCCAAAGAAGCTTTGCGAGCTGCTTGCCGCAGCTCCGAGCCTGCACAGAATCCCATGTACCTGGCCTTTGCTGACGGCCTGGCTTCCTAACCTCCCCTCGCCCAATCCCCACCCACTGGAAGGACTCAAGCAGTTCTTATTCAAGCACGGTCCGAATCCACACCTGTAGAATCCTGAACCCCTACATTCTGGGTCTGTCCGGTGGGCGGGGTCAGCTCTGAAAAGATGCCACCTTTTGCCAGGTGGCCTGGCGAGCATGCGAAGCGGTCTCGGACAGGAGGGAGCAGCCAAAAAGCAGAAAGAGAATACTTGGCCAATGGCAGCACTGGAGTTCGGCAGCTTTGATGGCTTGGGAGTTCCGGCTAGTGCTTCCATGTAGCACCCATGCCCTTATGCTGCCATCACCTGCATCATGTAAAAGCCCAGGTTGAAACTGTGGGTGCGAATCACTCCAGACTAAGATGAACAAGCATCTTTCTGCAGCGACGCTTTCCGCTTCAGACGTTGTGATTCATTCCGTCGAAGGCATGACGGCAAAGGATTCAGAAACGACCAGAGCAAGCAAACCAACACACATGTGAGGGAGTTGGGTCACTTCAGCTGAGCAGTCGCGTCCCCCATTCCCATGGACTTTCCCGAAAGTCCGAAGCACCAATTATCGAAACCCTCCGACCCCAAACCTGGCATACCACACTTGGATCGTCTGAAGCCCTCAGGGGCCCGAGTTGTGCGGAACGTGCATCAGAAAAGCCCGAATGCCAGAACACCCACAACGCTTTCAAACCCTGAGCGTCCGAGCGCAGTCATTCTTATGTTTGTATTTATCTTCTTATTCTCACTTCTCACTTCTGTTACGATTACTGTGATTATGGTCATTTGTGGTGCAGCAAGCCGAGCCCTGGCCTCATGGCCATGGCGATCTCAAAGCCCGGCGCCTTCTTGCGGAGCTCCTTCGAGGTATACCTGCCTCCTGCCGAAAGGGGGGGGGGGCTTTGGGTCCCCGTAAGGTCCTCCATTCCAGGCCCGCTTCGACGACTGCAGTGATGCAAGCTTTAAGCACTTCTGCTTTGTCATTTCTGAGAAGTTTCGTTTCGAGGGCTTTGAGACCTTTCATGGCCCGCGTAGTCTACAAAGTTGTCAAGCCGTGAGTTCACGTGAGCCGGCTGCCGGCTGCCACTGGGAACACGTCATGGATTTCCGGGGCACGGCGGCCTGCACTCGGTCAGTGCTGAACCCGAAAGCCGAGGAGAAGGCCTCCGCCTCTGCAGACGGAGAAGGAGAAATTCGGGGACTGCTCCAAAACAAACGTGGCAAGCGAGAGAGGGATTCTCAGGTCTTGGGGCTCATGGTTTCACCGGTCGCCTGGATACGGCAATGCTTTGAGAGATGTGCCCTGGACGCCAACTAAAAACAACCCTCAGCCTGGCACCAAAACTGATGGAGATGTAGATTTGCGCACCTGGGATTGCAGGAGTGTGGGACGCATCATTGCATGGAGCACCCAGAGCAATCTGAATGCAGGGGCTTGTGCCGTCGAAAGGCTGCTTGGGCTTATGTAGGGTCTGGGGGGGTTGAGAGTGTTGGAGGCTTAGGGTTTCAGAATCTGGAGACTTCAGTGGGACATGGCCAGGAGGCGGACAGATCCTCGGTACTGGACGTGCTGATGACGATATGCATGCTCCGTCGTCTTGTGTCAAACATGTAGCAGCAGCAGCAGTAGTAAGTAGTATCAGTAGTATGTTATGGAGGATGAGCACTGCAAATCCAGGGGTGCCATGGTGTTGTTTGCCGGGCTAGCCTGTGGTGAAGAGTTCACCACTGGGCATATGGCGAGTCTTGGCTGGCGCCCGTTAACAGGATAAGGTCCAGACCTTCCGTTAAGGGTTTTCATTCAAGACAAGGAATCGAGAGTTTCCGTTCTGCCTTCCCGATGAGACCACCACCTCCACCTCCACCAGCACCCTCGTGATCACGGCTATTTGTATTTTGCCCCGAAATCGATGTCATCCTCTTCATCCTGGAAGAACATCGCAACCATATGCATCAAGTCGAACGGATACATCGACGCCATGCATGCGCATGGGCAGGTAGAGATGAAGCGTGTGGAGGAGATTCAGCTGCTTGGTTGAAACTTTCGAGGGCAGGAATCAGGGTTTGCCGACTAGGTTCAGGGTTTCGTATTTGTCGGGTGGAGGGCAGAAGACTCCTGGCACAGACTTCGAACATGGCAAGACGAAGTTGCAAACGGAGGCTTCGCGGCACAGCTGCCTCACGTAGCTCGGGGATAGACCAAAGTCGTAGTGTGGTGTTGCTTCGGTTGCGACTACCTTCAGTCTGTGAATAGCAGCTATACTGACGAGGCGCTGGGCTTTGGCGAACCATCGTTGCTAGTGGGGGCATGCCAACTGGAAAGGTACCTTGAATTCACTCCCTGCAAAGTGCTTTGATCTCAAGAACCTCCCAGGATCTCCCAAGGAGCCCCAATCTTGAATGTTGGACTGCAGCCTCTACCCTCGGACGACAGCATGTTTCAACACAAGGATGTCCGAGTGCTAACAAAGTCCTTTTTCCAGCGAAGTGTGTTTCAGACACCCTGCTGAGGCTAAGGGCAGCTGGAAAATACCGCAGCTCTACTCCAAACCACGAGGGGGACAGCATTATTTTTTTCGGGCCTCTTGGTAATTAGGGTATGGGATTGGGAAGTTACGGCTCCTAGTGCACGCTATTGCGCAATGGGCTTAGCCGGGCAATCGGCCGTCCCCAACAAGTAGAAGTAGCAATTAGGGCATCGTTACATGGCGCGAGCGTTCGACTGGAATTGATGAGTTGTGGGATTAGCAGGGAGAGCCCACTCTATTGAGGGTTTTGAAGAGATCTGCCGAATCTGTCTGGGATGTTCAGGCCTCTTTGGCCTGAGACCGTTGGAGACCAAGGC